AGCCAAAATCAAAGGGGGGCACGGTGCCCCGGTGCCCTCCCCGTTCCGCCGCCTATGGATTGTAGGATACAATTTTAACAAAACCAAGGTAAACTAAAGCTAAAAGCGGACACTAACTCAACCATACCTCTAAACTGGCACCGCCGCTCTCCCGCTCCCGGCTCCCCTACACAAATATCTTTATTTTATGAATTTATTTCAGTGTTTTAATCGATGATACTCTCTGATAATATGACAAAGCAGGCATATAAGCAATTAGTGCAACCCTAGCTGATACCTAGTAAGAGACACACTCAGAACCTGATTTGACCAAGTCCAAATCTGCACCTAATCTGCATCAGATGTGCACCAAACGTGTACCAGATGGCCGTCGTGAAAACGGCTATTAGGTACTCTCCAAGATAGTGGTTCGTTTCGCTGTCACGGGTCCGGCTGGACCTGCACAAAAAAGGATGTGCACCTGCGGAGGAATACGTTGGGCTGAAGTGTCCGTTTCTATAGTTAAAGCAACAGGCTACTAAAATATAAGGTCAGGTGCCTGGAGCCGGAAAACAGCTTGCAGTGTCAGTCCGGCTCGGCGCCGTGTGTCCGGCCCGGACAGCCGAAACAGAGCCGTGGAAAACACGGACGGTGGTGAAATGACCGCGGGTCGGGCTTTTTGCCGCCGGCCTTGTTGATGTGTTTTGTTGTTCTTGGGTCGGGACTTGACCGACCTCGCTGTGGATTGTGACGTCAAGATGAGGCTGTTCAGTGAAACACTCGACGCTCTTTACCAAGAAAAACGTTATCTCAACACAGGTGGTGACAGTGTTTCCTAACTTGGAACTGACGGACGTATGGTTTTATCAATGTCCCATTGACTGGAATTCACCCAAACCCTCTTTACTCAGTGCCTGTCACCGTTCTTGTTCACACTCGTGCTTTATTCCGGGTTTTGTCACATCCCCATCCCCACCAGACAATCGGTAGACATGGTCGCTTTCAAGTTTAAATGAAGCGTATCCCTCGGCGGGGCAACCATTTGAGCGGCTGGTTGACCTGTCCCATCATGGCCTGGGACAGGTAGCCCCTGAAGTTGGATTACACCCGTCGCAAGGTTCCAACAAGATGTGCACCAGTCCATGATTGACTCGGCCCAGTGTCTTGGTCTTTACCCTCATCTTCCCATCCCACGGCACTGCAAAATGCGGCATAAATAGAGCGAAAGGGCCCAACACAACAACACAAAACAGGGGCGGGTCACGTAAGCAATTGAAGATAATGTTCCTTACCGGATACATAACATCTACTTTATAACAATTACGCTCCGACCCTTAGATGCACTGCACACTTCAACTCACACACATAAAGTTGCGCTCGTGGAAGGATGAATTTATATGAAGACACAAATTAAATGTCATTACCTACGAGGAAGAGTGGTGTGCAGTTTCATACTCCGAGAAGTGAACAAATGACCTGACGCTGATCTTCGACACGCACAGAAGACACGTGCTGTGAAGAACCGTTATTGTATCGGTGGATTATCTCACTATCAGTTGTCAATAGGCATCCTGTGTGTGGGTAAGTAGGTACTCACCAGAGCTATCTGAAGCATGGCCATAAATACATAAAGGACACTGATTTGTCGTAGTAGATTTTGCGAGAAGTGAGAACCACTTCTTCAGTGTAGGTATGTACCTTTGTAGACACGGCCGAATTATGCTCATCATTCATGTTAAGTAATCGATAAAGTAAATCTGTCAAATTAAAATATATTATAAAATCCGTTAAAAATTAATAAGGACAAAATAAGATAGCGTCGATATTCAGCTCTTCGTTCGAGTCTGACCTTCAGTTCGTGACCTCATTTCACTTTTCTTAACCCGCGCCCTGGTGGGGTCTGTTTATAACGCGACCTGGTGGGGGGGGGCTATTTTTTGCCCCCCCTCGTATCTCCGAAACTACTGGACGGATCCGCAAAATTCAAACGGCGTTCGAAAGGCCTGTCAAATTTGTCGAGGGAAACCAAATTTCATTGACCTCGGGGTCACCGATGACGTCACAGGTCAGGTCAAAGATGAAATGTTTCACCGTTCACGGGTCTTCTAGGGAATGCGCTATAACACCGAGGAAAACGCATTTTGTCGAGAATCAGCGATAGGGCGTCAGTTGCCTAGTACATATGTTGCTATTAGAGGTCACTGACAATACCAGGTCACGTCACAGGTCAGGTCACCAAGGGTCACAGGTCAGGTCACATGAGTCCAACTTTACTAAGGTTGTGTGATGCATGTTTTATGGCCAATTTTTCATTTCCAACTCAATGGTGTTGGTTATAAGACTATCAGGTACGGCTTAGGTCACTTTCTGGTGAAGTTCAGGTCAAGGTCAGGTCAAGGTCAGGCCAAAAAAGGTCAAATTTTAAAGTTGATAGTTTTGCATAAAATGGGTATTGATTCGATGCAGCTCGTCACGGGGAGTCTAATGGTGGTCTTTGTTTTGAGCTACGGGGTCTAGAATTGCTAAAAATGGAGTTTGAAAATTTGACGTCATCAATTTTGAACAGTTTTTTCGCTATAACTTCGCCATAAAAAGAGGTATCAATCTCAAATTTGGTATGTGGATGGAAGGCGGTAAGGACTATCACATATATTCCGGTTTTTGCGAAATTCAAAAAACTTTTTGGATTTTTCGATCATTATATCCAAAAAAATTATTTTTTGATTTTTGGGGGTCAAAATCCAAAAATTTCAAAAATCCGAGATAGCAGTTTTGTAGCCCTGTCAATTCTACAGCTTTTATGTTTTTATCATTTTTCTGTATTTGCAAAGCTATAGGCCTGACAGCTCTTCCCGCGAAACCCTTTTTTGGGTCGAAAACGGCAGAACATGACGTCACTCTGACGTCATTTCCGGCCAACCTATCATAGCCTTTGGAAAAAATTTTGGTCACCATATGTAAAATTGATGTCCGGGAGGGTACTGAAAGTTTGGTGACGATCGGCGCAGCGGTTATGGAGATATATTGAAAAGTCTGGAGGGGGGGCAAAAAATAGCCCCCCCCCACCAGGTCGCGGGTTAACCCGCGCCGTGCTGGTGGCCTGAACTTTCCGCCGAGTGCTGGGGGGGGGGGGGGGCGTTTTCACGCCCCCCCGTCTAACTCGGCTCCTGGGCCACGTAGCGACACGCGGTAAGCGGCAATCGAAAGAGCGTCAAAAATAAGGACGAAAACACTTCGGTCATTTTTTGGGTCAGGTCAAAGGTCAGGTCACCAGAGGTCACCAAAGGTAAAATGTTGACTATTTCAACATTTTGGAAACTGCCAACGGCTATCTCGGGAACCGATAGAGCTACAGCGCCGCGGAAAAGCGCATTCGATAGCCCTTTTACAGACCTTTCTGAGTAATGTTCTCAGATTTGACCTCAGGTCAACGGTTTAGCCTCCAAAGGGCAAAAACTCCAAAAATAGCCGTTTTTACGAAAAACGTTTTTTCGTCAATAACTTTTGACTCATAAGCGCCATGACATTACTTTTGCCAGCATCGTGTTCCTCTCGTCGAGACGCGTCGAATGAACTATTTGTTGACCTTGAAAGGTCATTTTGAAAATTTGACCTCAGGTCAAGGTCATGACCTGACCGAAAAAGGTCATGTTGCATATCAGTCGATCCGTATCGTCGAGCTGAACACATCTGACGTGTTTTCACCGCTCTAGCACGTCTCTATCAAAAGTTATAGCCAAAAAACTGCTGGCGACCGTTCATGACCTGAGATGACCTCAGGGGCACACAGAGGGGTCACAGGTGCATTTTTCCTATTCAGTGTGTCATGTTTACCTATGAACCGATGTTTGAGAGCGTTTTGAACGATATTCGTCCAAAAGAGGCGCATTTCAATTTTCTCCCATTGACTTATAATGGAGAGGTCGCAAAATTGACCTGACCTTAGGTCACAGATATCAAAAATCCGAGATATACATTTTATACATACTGTTACTCATATCAATCGCTGAAAGTTTCAAAGTGATCGTTCAGTCGGTGTAGCTATAGCGAGCCTTTGAACTTTTTCTGAGGTAAGGTCACTTGACGTGACCTGGTGACCTGACCTTGAACGGCCTAGGTCTGAAATTTTCACAACATGTGCGGAAATGATGTAGGAACACGTGTACCAAAAACGGCGGCGCTGCGCGCCGCCGTTTTTTGAGATATTCGCGAAAAACCTGAGGGGGGGGGGCGTAAAAACGCCCCCCCCCCCAGCACGGCGCGGGTTAATCTCATGACGTATTATGTGCCAGTATAAACATAATCTTGAAATGTTAAATGATGAGCTATTCACCCTCTACGCCTACACCTAACGTCCTACACTCGAACTGTCTTTCGGATCGCAGTGACTTGCTGTCAAATGCTTCATATAGTTTTGCCACCTGCTAGCATAACTTATAGGAACGGTGACATATAGGTAGGCACGCTGGATTATCATTTTTCAGAATTAATTGATTTGAACGTAACATTGCATCCGCAATGCTGTTTGTATACAATCGATATCATTTAACAAACGAAAGGTGCAAAATAAGCAATTAAACAGCTACTCCGCATTCTGTTTCAGCCCAATAGACGAGCATTATCAACTGAAACTATGCCAGGCTGAATGTTGCGGTATATGTCTAACAGGAACCGCACACACCCTCACACACACACGGCAGCTCACGCACGGCCCAGGGCGGATGTTTGCCGTGGCTGCGCGATTGTTTTCCATCTCTGGACTGTGTGCCGAGTGAGCTCGGGCCTCTGCCGACGGCGCCGGTGCATGAGATCGTTTTTACGCCGAGTTTTTGCCTCCACCGTAGTGGGAAATCTATTCAGTCTGCCCGGTGGCTGGGAAAGAATGAACCTCGCGTAATGGAGCTCGCTAATTGATCTGTGAACAGTGAACACTGGCGGGCGGGGGCGGGGGCGGGGGCGGGGCGGGCGGACAGTCGGTGGCACGCACCCGCAGCCCGCGGCGGCGGACCGGGCGGGCGGGCGGCGGGCGGCGGGCGGTAGCTGGCAGAAGTCAGTGTCGGGTCGGCAGCTGCGCCGGGCGCCAGTGAGCCGGCTGGCCGCCGCGTGGTGCTGGCGTGGGCCTGTGGTGCTGGTGCGAGCCGTGGTGCTGGTGCAGAGCCGTGGTGCAGCCTAAGCCCCAGACTGTCAGTGGTGGAGTGGTGTGGGACTCCAGCCCGCGGGTGCTGGGAGACTCTGTGTAGGACAGGACGGTCTGCTTCAGATTCAGGACGGCGGGACTTCAGGTCTGACTGGGGACTGGAAACAGCCCGAGTCAGGATACACCTGTCCTGCACTGAAAATCACCGCCGACTGTCCCAGCCGACTTCCTCGAACTTATATCGGTAAGTGTTGGGGGGGGGGGGGGGGGAATTCAGGGCTGATTCTGTGTGCTTTCTGTTCTGTGTGATTCTGTTTCTGTGCGCAATAAGCATATTAAAACATCACTTCTGCTTGCTTCATTGCATTAATTGAATTTATAATTGAAAAATGATTACCTATTCGGTCAGCCATAATTTATGTTATCAAAATAATTATGACTTTTGCAGTGCTCGTTGGGGGAAAGTCGTTGCTCGTAAGTACAACGGACACTTAGTTACCCTATACGGCTTATTACAATATTTATAGATAAAGTTAAGTAATGAGGTTAGAAAATATAACCAGTATAACGCCTTTTGGGGCGATTAACGGAGCGAGCGAGAGGGTGAGCCTTGCACGTGCGAAATTTCGAGGGGGTACCTCCAGCTGACTTGTGCACGGCACCCTACTAACCGGTCTCTAGCGATGTGCCAAATTTGAACACAATCGGTCCAGCCGTTCTCGAGATCTGGAAGCGGCACCCTGCACGTGCGCACGTGCAAAATGGGTCCCAACTGACTTTTGCACGGCACCCTACTAACCGGTCCTTAGCCATGTACCAAATTTGAGCGCCATCGGTCCAGCCGTTCTCGAGATGTGGAATCGACCCCTGCACGTGCGCACGTGCAGCAGCACCCCAACTCTGGCACATGGATATGCATTGCCTAGTGAGTGCCTACCTACATGCCAACTTTCAGCGCAATCGGCCCAGTAGTTACCGAGATATTGCAACAATTACAAAAGTGACACCTCTTCGTTTTGCACGTGGCACGTGCATAAGGGGTCACCCACATGCATCGGGAATAGTCCAATACTTGGTAGAAGGAATGAAGCTACCCTACAAAAATTACCGCGTGTAAATCGGTCAAGTGGTTGCTGAGATATAAGCCTCGCAAAAGCGTGACCACGGCCGGCCGGCCGGCCGGCCGGCCGCTCATACTCAGAAATTTCCGTTAATCTAAGGAAAGACTACGCTCGCTTCGCTCGCTCCGTAATAAAGGCTGAGCATTGTTATGATGTGGTGAAACCGGTTTCTCTGCATAAAAGAGGCTCCTCCTAATCTAGAATATTCATTTAAGGGCCACAACCTGTAACCAATTTTAACCAATGACGTTCATACTATAACATATAAGTATGGCTAAACGCATCTTTGTACCAATCCACGAGACATCACACTGCTCCGTTGTTTTCAATTTTTATGAGGCAAGTAAGCTTCCTTTTTATCCCGCACCCAATGCACCTCCCAGAATTTCCCTCGAGTTCACCTTCGTCTGTCTTCCCTCGCCGATGCAATGGTACTGATGATATGCTCACTGCTCAGTGATTTTGGAAGGCCTCAGACGGTTCATTGAGCTGGAGAGGAGCGATGTGACGGCGAACGGGTTAACACCAATCGATCTGGAACAGGGGGACTGAACTGGTGTAACATGGACCTGAGTGACCACCTAACCGGCGAAGTAATGAATTTGGTCATGACAGACGTCGCACTAAATAGTAAAGAACATTGCACACATATGACCCGCATAAAATTGTAAAAAAATGTTTTGGGGGGATTTATTCGAAGGGCGTGAGGGCTGCATTTCAACTTCATCGTGAATCATGATTAAAATTAATTGTACCATTCAATGTTTATCAGCTAACGATTCTGTGTAATGTTGGGTCATTTCAAAGAATTCGTCGTTTACACTGCAGTACCTACCTGCCTTAATTTCACATTTGTTCGGTCACATCTGCTTCCAGTTTTGTCAGTAAGCCGAGATCAGCCTTCCTCTAAGACGCATCCTATGCCATCCAGACGAGCTCGTTTCTGTGTGTTCTCCGCAGATCCCGCCACACTCTTGCTTTATTATATGCAACTGGTTGGGGAAGTTGGGGGAACGCCGAAGACTTTTTTTCTGACGCCCGTAGCACGCAAGGTATAGACAACATACGCTATTCTTGTTCGCGTCATTCGAGAGGCCAGTCTTTTGCCTTTCAAACATACCAGGCGCATTTGATGAATTCGCATACCGTTAAGCGCACAAACTAAAAATATCAAAGAAGTGACTTTTTCGGCGTTGCCCCGGACTGCGGGGAAAGCCGAAAATGGGAGAAATGATCTACGGGGAATGCCGACATTGATGTTTTGCCATTTTATCTCAAACTTTATCCAGAATTCATCAAAGCTGACACACGTTTTAAGAGCTTAAGGACGCTTGGTGCACACTGGAAGTTATAATTGTGTGATATAATAAGAAAATGCCAGGTAAATCATTCCTTATAGGTAACAGGCCGTTGTGTCGGTTGAAAGTGTAATTTGTGTGACTAAAAATACGCGTTGCTATCCTACAGCAGTAAAGTCCACGTAGCGTGCTTTTAACACGTGCGTAATCGCACGTTTTCGGCATTACCCCAGCCAGCCATACTTTCATTTGCAGGCCCATAACTTTTCAACGTGCTGTATAAATCTCAAATAGGCAGCACACTTATGCAAAGACATGCTAAAGATTACTTGACCGAATTGGCCAGACAAACGGTAGCATAATGAGTAAAAAATGCAGCTTCAAAGGCGCATGTAGTACAAGGGAAACGTACCTTGGAAACGCTCTTGGCGCCCTCACAGTCGAAGTATTCCGAATGACGACTCGTAACAAACATGCGATAATTGTAGTCACTTAAGCTTCAGAGCATCACTGACAGGTGGCATTCATGTCTTACGGTTTTCGAAATATCTCGAATTTCGGCTTTGCCCCAACTCCGGCATTGCCCTAACTTCCCCTTCCAACGAGACGGTCACAGCCACGTTCCGTAATCCGTGAAGCCGCCGCGACTGATCAATCGATCTAAACACGCACTGGACACACGGACGGTGGCAATGGGGTGCCGACTGACATTGGCCAGAGGTCGGGAAACGGTCACCGGTCTGCAGGGAACCCTGATGTCACCTCGGACACCGCGGGTAAAAACACAGCCGCAGGGTGTGGCCATGTCGTCCTGGAGAACGACGGTGACGGACGATGTGTGAGAAAATTACAAATTTACGTCAGCCGAGGCTCAACTGTCCGGACGTCCACTAGGCAAAATAAGAGCTGAGTTTGAAAGGTGGCAAGAAAAAGCTACACATCTGCTTCAGCTGATTTCCGTGTCAGTTCAGCTTAGTGACTTGGTAGGTCATTGAAGGTCACTAGAGGTCAATGAGGATTTTTATGGCATTGCAATATGCAGGGCACCGGTTAGAGAGAACTGCGAATATATTAAAGATGCTCTAGTTCCGCACCGTTGGCTTAGGGAACGGGAATGTTAGATAAGCATTTAGCTGCAGGTCTGAAGGTGTAGGCATTTGCAAGTATTGACTAGTGGGAACACATCTTTTTGCGACTGCTATTTTGTTTTCATGGGCTTGTTACGATAGACAGGCACAAAATATACTATGACAGTGCATCAGATACGGTCTTTCTGCTTTCGGTTTATTATAATAAAAGAACTATAAAACGGGATGTTGCAGATGAGGTGTGATTCGCAGCGTTTCATTGATGAAAAGTGCAGAATATGGCTTGGGCGCTTTTATCTTTTTAATATCACTCAGCAGTGAGACTCGTGTCATAATCTTCATGAAAATTTATACGTTGGCTCTAAGTAACGAGTAATTAGCAAATGAAACCATGTGGACCTTTCGGAGATCTTTCTCCTTCGTTATGAATTTTCCAAGAGCAGCCCTAGATGCCAATCTGTCTGTTTGTCTGTCTGTCTGTCTGTCTGTCTGTCTGTATTTTTATATGCTGTCCGTCTGTATAGGTATTCATTTGTTTGTATCGGTCTTCTTGCCTGATTCCCATTGTCCGCGGTGTTTGTCCGGGTCTGTTTTTTATGATCATACGGAACGGCCACCATATTCCGCGGCTGATCACTCCGTTCTGGTTGGTTGGAAACTGACATGGTAGCTGGGAGCTAAGAGCTGGGAGCTGGGGAGTTGAGAGCCAGGAGCTTGGGCATCTCACGGTACTACACGACACCGTACAACCCCATACGGAAAAGCCCATTCGCATGACACAGCATGGCAATAAACGGCAGTGGCACATGACATCAAACTCCATTGCATGGCACGACTATGACGAAGCCGCGCTCGCCAGATGGATAATACACAACATCGAATGGCACCAAACGGCACCAATCATACCACGCCACGCCCTTCCGCCTCACCGGGCAGCACACACCCCCGGCCGGCAGTGGTGACACCGCTCTGGTGACACTCCGGTCGTTCTGCCGCCCCCGCCCGTCCGCTTTTCCTGCAGCCCCCGCGGCACTGCCCGGCACAGTTCTGTCGCCACTCTGGTCTACGAGCTGCCCGGCCTCTTGTTCATCATGTTCAGTGTCAACTCGGTCCCGTGTCGCTGGTCACCGCTGTCCCTGTCTCTCTCTCCAGCAGCGGCGAGCGGCGCCGGGGTCTGCTTTCCACGGCTGACGACGGCTGAGTTATTGTTGTGGAACCGCTAAACAAGCACTGCGGGCTCAGTGCAGACGGTAGCGGTCGATTTGGAGGCTGCGGGGCCGGGAGGACCCCTCCCTGATGGCTGCTGAGCCCGCGGCGACGCCAGATGTTAGAGGCCACCGCTGGCAACAATTTGCCACCAAAGCGTGCTGCAATCGGCAGCAGCCAGATAAGGGGGCGGCCGGGAGGGTCTATAAAACACGAGTTTTGCTGCTTATCGCCCAATTTTGCCGCCGCGCCGATAGAGGCACGCCACGGAGATGGTATCGGACGCTGCCCGGGGATTGGCTGTGTGATCGTTTTCACATACCTCACAGGAGCGGAGTTTGGGGCAAACGACCGATGGACGGCCACACAGGGAGTCGGGACTATCTCAGCCAGCCGGGTATCACCGGGGCGAGCTGCGCTCTGCACGGTGGCACGATGGTGAAAATCCAAGTGGAAGATAAGAGTATTTGTGAGCTCGTGGCATTGTGCATTACTTGGTGTCGTGTATGTTGGTAGTTCCGTGTGGGCCAG